CATGGCATCGTCTCATATTAATTTTTAGAGTTATTGATAAAAAAAATTTAAAAATAAGTAATTATTCATAAATTCAATATCAAAATACCTAAAAAAAAAAAATTTTAATCTTGGGGGGTCAACAGCCCCTGGCCCCTTGTAAGTTCCGCCTATGTTCTTGGGTGAAGTTCTTGTGCTTTCAAATAATTTAGCCTTTTATGTTTCGGCTCTTAAAATTTCAGTTGTTCATTCTACAAATGGAAAAGGCGTTATTCGTTCTTTTGTGATTTTATATAGGGTAAATTACACCAACACCCCTGAGGTATGCTTAAATAATTGTAAGGTCCCTATGGTATTGATAATTACAATCACTCCCCTAAAACGTAGTTAGAAACTCTAACGCGATAATGCATTGAATAGATTATTCCGATAGGGTTCTAATGGACTATTACTTTTAGCTAGTGGTGGAGATAACATAGAGTTATGGGGAGTAATGAGGTGACATGCCTCCCGAAATATTACTTAAATCACCCATAACTCTTTGTCGTCTCCACCACTCCTGAAATCAATAGTCCGTTAGAACTCTATCGTAATAACGTATCCAATGCATTATCCCATTAGAGTTTATAACTATGTTTCAGGGGGTGAGTGTAATTATCGATACCATAGGGACCTTACAGTTATTTAAGCATACTTCAGGGGCGTGGGTGTAATTTACCCTTTTATTTATTTGTTCATGCTATTTTTTAGCATTTCTTTTACCTATATACTTTATCTGTATATACATTATTTTTTCTGAGCAACCTATTTATTCTGTTAAAAGAACTCTTTACTTTATTCCTGATATGATGATATGCATGGGAAATATTTTTTCTTAATGCAAATATGAATAGAAGTTCTTATGCTTCTGTGAGCTTTGATTTTTCTGTTTGTGTATCTAATTGAATTTAATAGAATTTTTTTTTCATATGAAACAAAAGGCTTACTTTTGTTATTCTATAAAATATGTTTTTTTTTGTCAGTGTAATGTTAATTTTTGTTGGTTGAAATGAAAGTCTTCTCATTTGGAATGCGCCATTTTCACATCTTATATATGTTGTTTCTATAAAATAGGTACTATTTAACTGGTTCATTGAAGCAACATATGTTCGCTAAAATATCAGCTGAGTTGGTTTTGGCAATTTAAGAAAACAGTACACATCATAATAAATTACAAGATAATACGATTTTGTAAATCGGCTCCGTTTATATAATTTAACTATGAAATTTAAATATTTTTATGCAATACTACACATAAACAGCAGGAACTTAAAATTGTTAGTTATGTGCACTTGTTCAAATAAATAATACATCCCGGATGGACATATCAGATAGAAAGTTTTCCGTGTTGCAAAGCTTAAACGTGTTGTCACATTCACTCTTATTTATTGTATATATTCAGGAAGATGCGATCATGAGAACTCAATTGAGCCATACATTAAGTTGGAGACATCTTGTATGAAATGTTATGGATGTGAACAACTTCAAAAATTGGCTCCTTGTGTATCGATGGAGAAAATGACCCTGCAAACGCTGGGACTATCCAAAAAAGTCCGAGCCTTGTTCGTTTATAGGTGGACCAAGAGAAATGAGATCGTGGTTGTGCTACACCCACCAACCAAGTTCTTTAACTTGATTTTAACAGCTGAATAACAAAAAACTTACACATGTACTTTTATGCGCATTGCTGTGTAATTAATATTAGACGGTTTGCACTTTTGTACTATCTCCTGAAATGCATATTTTCTGTATAAGAAATAAATCGAACGTCTTGCTTAGAATGTATGACGATATCTTAAAAGACTTTAATGTAATATGCAGGCTTATAAATTAATTTCATTATTTAGTACAACCAAAACCATTCCAAGACCGTGACGGTTTGTATTTCTTTACCACAATCATTACCAAATCATAATGGTTTCGTAATGGGTTTTAAACGGGGAGGATATTCATGGGTAGCAAGCGGATCGGTTTTTTTTGCCATTTCCAACTACATGCAATAAATTTCTAATTAAAACATTGATTAATTTTATTCAGTAAATCAATTGCTGGAAATTTTGAGTTTTTATTCTTTTATAGTTGAATATATTTAAGTGGATTAAATTTAGTCCCTAAAAAAATTAGTTTCTCAAAATTATTTTTTGGTGAATGAGCTTCAGATTTTTTATTGCGGAAAATGAAGAGGTGAATAATCACCATTATAAACTGGAATTGTGCAGCAAGTACTCCTACATCAAATATGTGTTTAATTGTATGAAAATGTATGGTACATTTTCAAGTGATCATTTTACTAAAAATTGTGACTTTTGGTCATAACTTGTTAGAATTTATAAATATATTTTAAAATCCACTATTTTTTTTTTGGAGAAAATAAAATTCCATCAGTCGATTCATTCATTTTTTTTTGTGCATCCAAGCATTTAATTTCTAGTCTCTCATTGCACATTGTTTTAAAATTTGAGTCTATGTTTTTGTGTCTAATTATAAATGTCCAAAACATTGTTTGGTTCATCGTGTTTAAAGTCTTGTTGGGCTACGTACTTTCTTGAAATTGAAACAGTCTTTTCTTAGAGGCAATTGCCAACAACTGCAAGCACTTCTACGAGGTAAATTTTTCTTAAGGAAAAAGAACTAAATTTTTTGCCTCGACTATATATTTTGTATAAAATCTCTGTCAAAATTTATTTAAATCCCATTCGGAAATACACACACCCAAATAACAATATTAAGACATTTTTTTTCTTGTATTTTTGAAACGTTGAACCATAATGAAGTTGCCGGAGATGCATCAATAAGTATTCCAACACCTATTGTGACACTCATTTCGACGACGATGTAGATTTATGATTAGTGCTATGTCAAAATGAACTGACGGAGAGAACGCTATCGTAAGTGGCAGATGAACGACCAGTACCAAGACCTCAAAATGAACGGTCAATATCGAGTTTCAAAAGAGTCGAACATATGCGCTCAACAACTAATGGACCATCGAGGTGGGCCGATTTCAATGTGGTGGGTGGCTTTAGTGGGCTTGGTATAGTTGGGCTGGTTATTAAATAACCGGTAAATGTGTTTTTATACAACGATTTAACAATCCTCTAAATATGTTCGTAAAATCTTTACAGCCTTATAGACGACTATACACTATATGAATATTTTTAGGGGTTATTTGTTAAACACGCCCCCATTGAGATTTGACTTCTTGATAAATCTTTAATTTGTAATTGGTGTTTAACATAAATTCATTGGGCCTAAAAAACCTTAAATGCCCTCACTAATTAATATAATTATTTTAAATAAAAAATACGGTGAATTAAATGGAGAATTCCTCCCAAAATCGCATTACCTAAAAATTCTCCCAATATTTCTCCCCTAATTTGTTTATCACATCTAATCTTTCTCCATCTCTCCACAAATCTTGCCCCCAACTTTCCCAGTATTTCGAAAATTCATTTCATCTTTTTTCTCTTGCTCTCCAAAACTGCAGCAATGGTTTCACGTTTACTGCAAGAAAATCTACTATTATTTTCGGACAAAAACTCCTTCTCTTTAGGGCAAACAACATAAATATATTGGTTCAACGTCACATAAGCTTTTCCGGTAAAAAATTGACGTGTATTACAGTGGAAATGGCAAAAATCACTTTGCACAATACTGGATTTAATAAAATGGGAAGGTCAAAATTCATGGATTTAATAAAGGAAAGGCAGAAACCACTTTGCGCGCGAAAACCACTTTACGTGCAAAAACCACTCTTACATTTGTTTAAGCATCAACAAAACGTGTACAGTGCAGTGCACCAGACACATACAAATCTTATATACATCAATAAAACGTGTACAAACACATACAAATTACTGGCCAACGTAAATCAATACAAAACCTCACATATAAAGTCTCATGTGAGCCGAAAACCACCATGTGAATCTGCACCACCGCCGCTTATCTAATGACTCAAATAAATTATTATTTCTGTGAGTTACAATTCCGATTCTACATAAACGGAATGTGTAATCAATAAGCCTTAATGATGGAATTAGTTGAGAAAGTGCTATTTAAAATATTTATGTAGAAGATATTATGTATCTTCTAATAACATATATTAAAATACGTGTATTAATTAGTTAGGGGCATAATAATGATAATTAAGAGTTTTTAATTAATAAAAGTTGTTTTGGATTTATCTTAAAAATGAAAAATAAAATTGGGCCTAATGTAATCACCTTTGTGTAAAGCTGGTGTTTTGTCAAATTCTCCCATATTTTTATTTTTGGTGTGTTAACTCTTTTATAGTGGAGAGAGCCACAAATATGAATTATAAAATGTAATCAAAAGCCAAACATCATGGCTTCCATAAATTACATATTGTAACATTTATCAGTTACATATTGTGTTCCACATTTATCATTTAAGTTCATTCATTCAGCTCTTGCTAGAGATGTAAACGAGCTTAGCTTGAATGCTTGGGCGAGCTTGAGCTCACTGAGTTTATATTTTGAGCTGGAACTGGAGCTCAATTTGAGTTTGTCAAGCTCGAGTCTCAGCTCATTTTTTTTTTATTTTTATTAATGTTAGTATATTATTATTATTATTATTATTATTATTATTATTATTATTATTATTATTATTATTATTATTATTATTATTATTATTGTTGTTGTTGTTGTTGTTAGTATGTTATTATTATTATTACAAATTATTGATTTACCAAAAAAAAATTACAAAAAAGAAAAACTATAACATTTTTATATGAAATTGATATTATATTTTATATGAATTATATATTTAATTATATTTATAATAAAAAAAAAAAAAAAAGCTCGCAACCCAGCTCTAAGCTCGAAAAAAAGTAAGAAAAAATTCGAATTCGAGCACGAGTTCGAGATTTTGTCGAACCCGATTAAACTCATTCACATTTCACAGTCCTACTTTATACTAACTTGGGCAATAAGCCTACAAGGGCAAATCCGTAAATCCACAAACAATCTCGTAGTCAGAGATCAAAGCATGTATTCTACTTGTCTAACGCCACTCCAGTTTTCGTCATCTCCAATCCTCAAATAGGGTTTCGCTAAATTATCAGTCTCCTCCGATTTCAGATTCCCCCCTTTCCTCAACTGGCAGTCGAAATTTTGCAGAAAACCTAAAATTCGAAATCGCCTTATTCCACAACTCAGAAACATTCGATTTTCTTCGCTTCTGGTTTCTGATATCCTTTTCTCTGCGGACAAAACGAATTCAATGTTTGATTTCGCCTGTTAAGCTTCCATTGGAATTTACCTATTGTATATACCCAGTATGATGGCGCTTCCTCTCGGAAAGCTCACGCTAATCGTTGGTGCAGGTCAGTGATTTCTGACTTTTGCAGTGATTGATTTATTAGATTTTATGTTTGTTTTTGCTTTTTTTGCGGGTTTTTTTTTTTTTTGCTACTGTTTTTTGTTCTTATTATATTATGTTGGAGTTTCGACTAGTTGGTAGTGCTCCGACGAATTTTAGGGTTTATTACAACAAACCCTTGTTTGGCTGTGTACCAAAGGATATCAATTTTGTGTGGTATGATATTTTGTTGACTTCCAATAGAGTAGACAATTAGATGAACAGAAAAATACCCCTTTTAATGTTTTGGTTGGTAGGCGGTGTTTATTTCGTTATTGCTTGAAATCACTGGGTGGAGGAGGAGGAGCTAAGTAATAAGGCAAAACATAAAAAGAAAATTAAGAGCTAGTTTTAACCTGTTAGACACTCTTTATTGTTTGTAGAACTATACATAATCTTGTTGTGTTATATCTCTGTAAATGGTGACGGTATACAATGGTGTATATTTAGTTTTTCAAATGATATTTTACTGAGCAAATCGAATACGTACATGCAGGCCTTTTGGGGTCGGTTCTTGCTAAAGAAGGCGGAGTACCTAGTGTTTCTGATGTTTTCTCTTTTACATATAAGGTAATTTTGGCCATGTGCTGAATCTGTAGTTTATTATGTCACCAACCTACTGAAGCTTTTTTCTGAAATGTTTGATAAGCAATGTCTTATTTTCGTCATCTTTTTATTAACCTGCAGCATGTTTTCAAGCAACTTAAAAATGATGACTCGAGTTCGACTGCATCGAGTTCAAAACCAAGAAATGATTCTTTGATGCAACAGGTTTTGAATTAATGCCCTCTATAGTTCGACGGATTCCTTATTGTCTTAGATTCTCGTCCTTCCGCTTTGCCTAGACTTGCCGTTTATCTTTTCTGTTATTTTATCTCGTACTCGAGTATCCTTTTTAAAACGCCTTCTACACTACATGAGTTTTTCTACAAGGTAGTTTATGTATAGGATTGATATATTTAATGAATTTATGCTCCTCAGTTAGGTATTAGATAATCATAGAATACAGATACATATTCATGTTTGTTTTACCTGTTTTTGTTGTTAAGAGTCATACTCACTCTGAAAACACGACTTATGTTTTGTACAATGTTCTCTGCCTATGTTACAAAGGTCTTATTGAAAGTAGATTTTTCAAGTATAATATGTGTAATATGATTTATTTATAGGTTTCCAAGTAGGATTAAGTCAAACTACTGAAAAACGATTGCAAACTTAAAAACTTTGGCGGGAAAAAAAGTGCTTATTTGAAATTTAGGTGGATAAGAGAGTCTGTAGCATTGGCAAAAGAATTATCTAGCTCTTTTTAGTCTAACAGTAAGTCAAATTAACGTTTACTTCGGAATTGTGTTATGTCTAAGAACAATTGATTCTGCAATATGTTTTTATTTTTATGTTGGCGGTAGAGAAAGAAAGATGTTCTGTAATTCATAACAAATGCTCTCCGAGCGTTTCGGTGCTATCTTATCTTGGTGCATACTTGTGTGAGTTGTATAGATCCTTGACCACATGTCGTGCTTACATTTTTATGGTTTTTGACTTCCTAGAGTTTTTGGTTACCCAGCATCAATGCTCTTTCAAAAAAACATCGATGCTGCTATTGAAGAAACTGATGAATGTTTGAGATCTTACAGGTTAACAGTCTGCGTGAGGAGCTGCAACTCCTAGCATCAAACAGATCGGTTACAATTGTAACTGGATCCAGATCAGGTTGCTCTATCAAATTTAAGAACAAATATCATTGCTAGTGATTTATCGTTAGATTTTTCTGAAGAACTTCAATGTTTGTGACTCTGTGTTCCTTTTGGAACTACATGCCATGTGAAATCCATATACTACATATTTTGAGTGCTTCATATTTTATTGTGACCTTTAAATTTCTCCACTTCCTCTCTAATTATGTCATGTGACAGAGCCTTTTGTTTTCTCTTTCTCTTGATCCATCAGTTGAATACATGCATCAAAATCCTACAGGCACTATTGTGCATGAGGGGTCATTGATTCCCTCGACATTTGAATGTTGGTGCTTATTTTCATGAAAGTCCCAATGTTTTTTCTTCTTTATTTTCTTTTTCTGTTTTTGGACTAGCTTAATTCTGTGTAAATTACTGGGTTTGGTTGAAACATGAAATTTATTAGCAATGTATCGGTAATGATGGATGTTCTTTAATTAAGAAAACAAGTGGCCTTGTTTAAAGTGCCAAGTATGCATCTAGGTGTGTTTTGCTTGCCCTTATTTGTTTTTGGGTAATAATCTATGTGGTACTAACATCTTGTCCTACTTTTTACAGCATCTGGCAAATATGGTGTAATTGTTATTGTCGTAGTTGTTGGATATGGTTACATTTGGTGGAAGGTAATGTCATTGTTCTTCTTGTAATTTAGTGAAGCACTGAACACGTAATAATTTGTTTTAACCGTAACGTTTTCATGAATTGCACCTAATGTCACTTCTCTTGTTCTTATATTTTATTTTTTTACTGGCATACAACTTCTCTTTATTTCAGAGTTGTTGTTTGCGTACTTCCTTATTAACTATTATGTGAGGTCATTATAGAACATCTATTGGTTTTAGGTGCTGTAGAGTCAGTGTTGGACCCCAATGATAGGGGAGATTCCTCATTCCCGATGCTGGGCTTGATGATAATTTGAAGTTCTAAGACAAACCTAATTTCGACCACTTTTATTGTCTTTGTGTTCATGTTTGTGCTGTTCTGTAAACAAATAACTTTTTGCAAACTTGAAGATAATTTACCCAGTGAAGATAACTTACTGACCCCGAATCTCTTGTATGTTTACCAACTCTCGTTAGGAGAGTTGGTATCTAGTCTCTACTATTAGAGTTGAGGTCTGGGGTTTAACTTTTAAATAAAAAAAAACATCTCTTTTATGTTTGATACAATTTATAAGTATTTATCCATTTGCAGGGCTGGAGACTTTCTGATATGATGTTTGCAACAAGGCGTGGCTTAAATGATGCATGTTCTTCTGTGGGTAAACAGCTTGAGAATGTTTACTCCTCAGTTTCGGTAAATCTTCAATTCTCACTTCAGCTAATGATTCTGATGCATTCCTGGGATTTACTAATTACAACGAGAGCTTGTGTTGTTCCCTGAAACAAATTTCTCCCCGTGATTTGAAGCTATTGTTGATTAAGTATATTACTGAATTATTATTAATTATTACTATGCTTCTTTGGTATTTACTATTCGGTCAATATGATACTTCATGTTTATGTGGCGTTTTCGCATTGGTTAGGACTGATTTTTTGCAAGCTTGATGTTAATCATTTCTAAATTTTAGCCTCTCTTGTTTTAGTTTCTCAGCCACTGTCTAATTGGGAATGCACATGCTTACATGATATGTGTGAATATGTCTGTTTACACCTAATAATTTGTTGCATATGATCCTTGTGTGTGTCTAATTTTGTTCACCCCTCAAATGACATTCATCAGTCAATCGTTTACATTGTTTTGCTCTACTTAAAGAAAGAGGTGTAGAGAAAAACAAAATTGTAAGCAATGGGATGCATGTGCAGAATGCTGTTTCCAGTGACCTACTATCAACTCTTGCCTTTGTTAACTTCTTCTTTAACATTTCCAGGCCACTAGGAAGCATCTATCCTCGAGAATTGACCGTGTAGATTGTAAAATTGATGAGTGTGCTGATAATACTGCTGCAACAAAAGTGGAGGTGAGGCTGAATTAAATAATTAATGGTTGATTACTGTTTGTTTGGCTACTTGTTTTTCCTTGAGTCCTGTCAAATAATTAATGGTTGATTACTGGTTGAGCATTTTCGTAGGTAACTGAGCTACGAGGTGACGTAAAAGTGATAGGTTCAGATGTAGAATCTGTCCACCATGTCGTACGGTCTCTGGTGATTATTCTCTCTCTCTCTCTCTCTCTCTCTCTCTCTCTCTCTCTCTCTCTCTCTCTCTCTCTCTCTCTCTCTCTCTCTCTCTCTCTCTCTCTCTCTCTCTCCTTCAATCTCTCCTTGTTATCTTTGAGATGAATTTTACTCGATTATGGATCAGAAACTAATCCTTCAACTTTGTTAATGTCATAGGAAACTAAAATTAGCAGGATAGAAGGAAGACAGGTACTATTAGAGTAACCTCTGTTATTCTACAGCCAAGCTAAGTGTATTTACCGGCAATTGTGTTTCCTAATATCGGCACTTTTTTGTGTTTGTTATTTTTGTAGAATGAAATGAACTTTGGTGTCGGAAAGTTGGTTAACTTTGCCAGGAACCTAGAGAATAGCAAAAGTATGGAGCAAATTGAGGCAAGAACACAAACTTGGTATGCTTTGTCAATGTAATTACTATTTATCATGTTTTTCCTGACTATTACAATGGACTCTCTAGGGGGGTGCATCAAGTTCGTCGAGGCCTGCTCTTGAATTGCCACGTGTATCTCCAGCAAGGGTAAAATAACTCCCTAATAAATATGCTGTTACCTAAATGCTAGTGAAATCAAATCCTCTTATTTCACTCTGTTTATTTTACGCACAGGCTATCTCGTTGCCTACCAATACTTCACTAGAGCCACCGTCACCCTCAACTGCTAACGGATCTCGGAAGAAACAACCTTTCTTGCCTCCCAATTCTTCACACAGTAATGGTTCTGCTTCAGGCCTTAAGGTAATGGATATGTTCTTTGATAACCTCATTGGCTTGTGTGTCGTCATCATTAATTATTATTATTGTTATTTATTTTTTTGGGTAATTATTCTGTAACCTCTCGAGTGGTGTTTTTACAGGAGCTTAATGGAATATCCGATGATGTGGGAATTTCGAGCCTAAGCACACCACAGGGTTCAAATGGAACATCTGAAGAAACGCAGCCCGAGAGCGCTAGTGCTGGTCTGTTTGGGGGAAAATTCCCGGGCTTTAGTGCATCTTTTCTTACAAGAATGCAGTCTTTCAAGTAGAGCAATATATACTGTAGATTGTGATCAGAGGAACTATTTCTAGGATATAATTTTTTTGTAATTACTAATAGGAGAGACCTTTCTATTTTAGTTAGGGCTAGCCCTTGAACCCAAAGGAATGCCCCTCCTACATTGGAACGTTACCCGAATTTTGTAGGAGTCTGTCTCTATTTCCCGTAATTTTGCTATGCGACAATTTTTTTGTTTATTTTTATCCATATTCGGTAGTATTAGAAAGTAGTAGAAAATATTGAATAACAGAGACCTGTTTTTCTGTCAACTTATGGTCTCGTTGTATACTTGTGTGACAGACGTGAAGATTTGGACGGTCACTTTGATTTATTTCCTTGTTGAAATACTATCCCCGTTTTTGTTTACTTGTTCATTCGTTGGTTGAAATAAATGTGGACGGTGTGATATTATTTGTTTTCCGTTTTTATTATGGCATATAAAATGAAGAATGGATGTTGCAATTGTGCTTATTCGTAAAATCTCTCTTTCTATCTCTCTTCATCTTTCCCTCTCTCTCGCCAAATCTCTTTCTACTGTATTCCTCGTGCCCAAGAAAATCGTCTCTAATGGCGAAATCGGCGGGAATTGTATTTGGAGCCTTGGCTTCCGCGATAGAGCTCGCGCTCAAGACGTGGCTCGTCAAGGCTCGATCTTCCATGGATGATTCCGACCCAGATGATTCCGCCACTGCCAAACCTGCCGTTGATGGACATGTTAGTGCTAGGTTTTTAGTTGATTTTTTCAAAATTAGCTTTCATGGTCTAGTTTTTCTCTCTCTAGGGGTTAGTTACCACGACTGGTCTAAGATACTGAAGGAGTACAAGGAGAATCACCGTATGGAGAGATCTGAGTACGGTTTGAGGCTTTTTAATTAACTGTTAGATTTTATTTTTCTCTTTCTTTTTGGCTTTTTACTTTTTTGGCAAAAAATAAAGAAAAGAAAAGAAAAGCCTCATTTTTTTACCATGGATTTTTTAGGCGAGATTTGAGGTCTGTATATAGGTGTTTGTGCTTTTCTTGCAATGTAATTCACATGTTCCATTTTCCACTTCGTTTTCTTTAATTCGTATTTTTTTCACAGGTTTTGCTATTAAACAACTTCATGAGATGCAGAGAATAAGATGCGGAGAAGTACATTGTGAAGTTGGATTCATGCTACAATCGTCTATATATATAACTACAAATAATTGTAGATAACTATAGTCACGTATAATAGCATATAGTTATATGTATGTGAATTACATTACATTTTCTAATTTCCTTCTTTTTTTTGTCACATACCAATGAAAAATAGTTTTGATTCATCACTCCTCATTGTTGCTATAAACTACAAACTACAATATATATGACTATACTCATATAGCCACATGTGGTCACATACATGTACTCATATATAGTGACATGTGGGTTATATCAAATGACCCCTAACCTTACAAGAATTTATAAGGCATCTCAATCTTATGGAGTTTTTTGACTCAATAGAATTTTGGGTAAACTATAGTTGCACCCCCTTTACTATAGAAAAAGCCGCATTCACCTCTTACGGTACCAAAAACTACAAAAACTAGGGGTGAGTTTGGTAGGGCAACCGTACCAAACACCTCGAATCACTACCATTACCGAATTTTCGGTATTATAACATCCATTACAATTACCCTATCAAAAACTTTGGTATACTGATTTCGGCATACCAAAATTTCGGTACGGTAGGGTATGGTAATGGTAACTACCAATCTATGTTATCTACTATTTAAATCGAAATTGAAAATCATTTTTTCAAAGCAATTCAAGGTATCTACATGTTTGAAATGTTCAAAACTAGTATTTATGATATAAGTATATTCTAAATATATGTTCTTAATTTACTTAACATGCAATACTTCGTAAATAAAATTATAACATAAAAACTTTTAACTTCAATTATATCATTATTAATGAAAGCAATTTAAAATATTTTTAACATACCTAAAGAGTACAATTAATTTTAACTAATAGTAGTTAGTTAGGATACTATGTTCACTTTCTATATATAATAAATTAATTATTAAAATAAAATTTTATTTATTAATAATATTTCGGTACGGTGGTAGTAGGGCAATACCATTTTAATAATATTGACTGCCGTTGCCCTACGAAAACATTTCGGTAGTGTACTAACCAATATCTGCATGCTATAAACTGAGCTTTAAACCACTCAATCTTATCACGATATAGCATATCATAGTTAAACTAAACCCTATTAATTAGCCGTATCTTTATTAATATATATATATATTATAGATAAATATTGTATTATTGATATGTATATCTCCTAGTTCCCTGGTGTAAAGGGTTAGTGTTTTCACACATGTAATATATATATATATATATATATATATATATATATATATATATATATATATATATATATCACAATAAATATTTATCTTGTATCATAACCTTTTAAGAAAGTTTTACTTCAGCAGCTACGTTAGAACCATTCTTTCAGATCTTACACTGATTAGAACAAATTTACCGGAACTACTCCGAGCCCTCTTTCACATATATTCTTTTAAAACCCTATAGTTCTTCTATAAACAGACAACCCCTTATTTAACTTTAAAAAAATAATAATAAATAGTTAACGTCAAAGAAACTAGTTTCTCATTTATGAGTTAGTTTAGCTTAGCAGGAAAAGACTCATCCAAATTAGGAAGTGAAATTAATAGAAATTTATTGCAGTTTTCTTCTCCGATCCTAAGCTACAAATGAGATAAGAGACCACTTCATTTAAACCCGTCTAACTCGCTTGTAATAGCAAAATCACCCACGTGTAGGAATAGTAAGACAGACGGTAGGTATTTCGAGCTGCTTTCACAAGTACTAAAGCAAGAATGAAATCAAGTATGGAAAGAAGATGTGGACTATTGTTACCCCTTAATCGGTGATATCGGTAATGACTCGAGTGTGGCCGAGTCATGACCGAGAATGGGTGCCAAGCAAGGGTTGGCACAAGACAACCACACAATCGGCCAATGAGTGGTCGAGTGTCGGGCAAGCATTCGGGGTGTTTGTCCGAGAAAAGCAAGGATCGGCTTGGTTCAAGTGGGAACGGTGATCGAAAGTACTAGTGGCTGGCACGGGCGTTGCTCGGCAGCAAATGCAGACAAGCGTGGGCAGTGATCGGCATGCGGCCGATAACTTGGGCAAACGAACGTTCGAGGGAAATCGACCACGACTTGACAAGTGTAGGCAAGTTGGCACGACGGATTGGCAAGTCAATGAAGGCAGCCCGATGTGCGGGCGTGCCAAAGACCGTGAGGGTAAAGAACTAGCAAATAATCGGTAAAGGCAAGCAAAAGTGCGGAAAAGGCAAGGCAGATGAGCTGCCTAGCAACCGGTCGGGCTGTTTGGGCCGTTTGGCGCGCGCCCGCGAGCCCGATCAAGATGGGCTTCGAAAATCAGCCTTGGGGGCGGATTTGAGGGAAGTTACGGAGCGGTTGAGGCCTGGAAAGCATGGAAAAACTGCCCCTTATTACTTGTAATAGTTGGCCAAGTGTCATGTAATAGTGCTGCCGTGTGTCCTTAGGTAGTTTTGCGTGAAAACTACATTTTCCTTGTATTTATTTGGCTATGAGTGCACAAATCCGACCCAACTAGTATAGGAGAGTATAGGAGAGTTCAGATTGCAATTGTGGGCATTCTGAGTGAGGATTTTGTGTGTGCACCTTAGTCTCCTTTATATTCTTTGTGGAAAATTAATATAAAGGTTGGGCATTGCCCGTAAACGTGCTTGTGTGTTGTTTTCCGCTGCATACTCTTGTTCTCGTTTACGTTGGCTTAAAAGACTTGTGATTGTGCGTTTTGTGCGAAGAGAATCGTGAGGAAGGCTGACTGATTTGGTGGGCAAATCAGGCCGCACGGACGAAAATTTCTTGAGTAAAGAAACCCCTGTGACAACTATCCATGTGAAACTGTAATACAAAAATAACAATTAAAGGAAAGCGACTCGACCGAGATCATGGGTGTAAACAAATACAAACCTGCTCAGACAAGCATGCCTGATGAAATGCGGCTGGGCAATTACCAATTCACCTTCCACTAGACAACATTTGCCACATATATCATCACCGTGACTAAATTCATCGGGGGATTTTTTTTTCCTTGTATTCTGCTGACCAGGCTTCAAGATGACATAAGATTAATGACTTTCCATATTCCATGAAAAGACTCATGCAAGGCCATTTTGAATTTGAACCAGCATGTGCAGCAAAATCGGAGATTGAGAGCGTCTTGTTACAACATGTGCACAAGAGTCCATTTTTGGTTATTATACTTTGTGCGTTGGAAACTAATTTACTTCATTCAGGGAAACAACCCCTGAATGAATTAACCAAGATAAAACTGTTCTGGCTCTATAGTGGAAGACCAATTCTTTTGCCGTGTTTGCTCTGGACCTCTCTCTGGCTTACTGGGTCGGCCTCTCGAGCTCACGAACACTCGAGGAAACCTCGTCGATCGGTAGATGTGGATGACGTCTTACTCACGAAGAAGGAAACCAAGAGCTCATCATCGTTCATCATATATTGTTTACCACGGAATGCTCCAATAATACCCCTTTTAATTTCCCGTGAGAAACTCAGTTTCAACACTGCTAATGCACTAATCCTGCAAATTATGTTGGAAAAAATTAACTTTTGTAGACAAGAGGCACTTTGAAAAGCAACCAAACCAACTACACAATTGTTGTTTAAGTCATCAAGATAAAAAAATTATACCCTCTGTTAAATTTTATGCTTTTGGATGAGGTAATTATTAACATGAATCACAAAAAGAAAGCACGGAACATGCACAAAAAGAGAAGACTTCCCAGTTTTCACAAACACCATGTAAATCAGCAACAATTCATCTCTGCACCAGTGAAGAAAATATTCTTACTTTTCACACTGTCAAATGAGCAAAGGAAAAAAAAGGAGATGATTTATGAATAATAAGTGCACATAATCCATGGAAAATAAAAGCTTATTACTTTAATCCTATCTGCACTTTCACCTACCTAAAACAAACAAAAAGCATTAAATTTACACAATTAAAAAAAAAATTGAATTATTACCTCCGAAATCCTCAAAATAGCTAAATTCGAATTCAATGTGAACCCCATTAGAAGTGCGCTAATTCACTGTTCAATTAGAAGTGGGAATCGGATTAGAAGTGCGCTAATTCCCCGTTATTTCAGAACAAAAACACGCCGCCCAAGCATTAAATGAAAATTTACATCCATGTGATGTAAATCAGCAACAACTCATGAATGGGCCAGGTAAGAAACATTCTTACTTAGACATAACAACTAATTAATGAACAATAATTACATAATTATCCATGGAAATAAAAAGCTTCTGCCACTAATACTTTCCGTATTTACGTACGCCTACCTAAACAAACAAATTAAAAGCATCAAATTTACAGCATTAAAAAAAAAAAAAAAAAAAAAAAAAAAACCTCATTTCCTGGCGCGAAATCCTCCAAATGGCTAAAACCAGAATTCAAATTCAACACAGAGAACAAATAATGGTTGAATTCAGTGTATCCACACTTCAACCCTCATTTCCTGGCGCGAAATTGCAGTGAGGAAAAACAGAAGGCCGACGAGAATCATTGGTCCAGCAGATGAACTGCGGTTGGGTAATTTCGACGACGAATCCATTTATTTCAGCCGATTGATTATGATTCCGGGGTGGGAATTGAGAAAAAAATAAGAGGGGTGAAAAGTAGATTGAGAGATTAAATTTGAATTCACTGTGAATTGTGATAATGGGATTGATTGTTGGACTGTATTTCTAGGGTTTCTGCTTCAAATTCCAACTCAAAGAACTCAGTAATAAATAAATAATTTCTTTGCTTCAAAAAACCTACACCTATATTCATCTAATCTATATATATATATGTCTAACCAATTTTCCCATAATTATATTTGTTTTTGTCTCCTTCAAACATTATTTTACTGCTAGACTAAAACAAATGTCTAAAAAACAAACAAACGTTTTGAAAATATTATTCTAAAATACATTTTCCCGACATCTTCACACATAATTTAAGTGTTACAATTCTTTTTTCCCTCCCAAAATATAAATAAGTATTACAATCTCAAATTATTTCCTAAAAATTGATCTCCAAAATATAAGAAAATTTCAATACATATGATTTTATTTTTTATTTTTTTTTGTTGAGAAATTTGAATGGTAATATCAACAGTTAAACCTCTATAAATTAATTCAGTTGTGATCAGAAAATTCCATTAATTTAGCGATTTATTAAATGATTAAGTTAATAATTGAGCACATTTTTACCGAGTCGGGACCAGGAGACACTATATTATTTCGACATTATTAATTTATCGAGATCCTACCGTAGTATTTACATTGTATTGTTCAAATATGAAATTACCCAAAAAAAAATGTGGAAGTTCTCAAATGGGCTTTTGACTTGAAGCCCATACCAGACCAATAATGGAGGGAACCATTTCCCGCCATTTTACATTTCTTATTGAAACGGCGAAACCCCTGAATTCTCTTAGCTCCTGCTTTTCTCTGTTCTTTTTGTTCCGGTGAATTTTTCAGATCCGGCTATTGAACTGTAACTAATTCTGCACATGGAAATCGTCGGATCCCGCCGGAAATCGTCGCTTTCCTCCGCAGGCGACGCTTTTCCGACCCTCCCGCTCTACCGATCCGCGCCTGTACTTGAAGTCCGACTCGAAGACTTTGAGCTTTACGCTATTCATCGCCTTCGAGGTTTCTTCATTTTCTCTGTGTGTGTGTGTGTGTGTGTGTGTGTGTGTGTGTGTGTGTGTGTGTGTGTGTGTGTGTGTGTGTGTGTGTGTGTGTGTGTGTATCTGCATTCATGTATGTGTGCTCAATTGGGCAGTTTAGGGATTGGATTGAGTTCTTAGGATTGAAATTTATTAATAAAATATTTAATTTCAATTGTTTGGACTCGTTAAATTGACCTTGAATAATTATAATTGATGACAAATTGGTTTAAATATAAACTGTCTCACGTCTGATTTCTCCATACCAAGCAGCACCGTGTTAGGGTTTTCTTTTTTCTCGAATATGATTCCATAAATAGTCCCGACAATTTGTTGAATTTGTTTCCCCATGTATACTTTGAAGGTATTCTTTACAAAATTCCAGAACTTTCGGGCCTACAGCTTAGTAAATCATTAGACGTTTTGGTTTTGGGAGGAGTTGTGATGGGAATTTCGGGCGTTCGCGTTGAAGTAACTGCAATTTTCTTCACATTTTGGTGCATGTAATTCTTATTGTTTATGTCACGTGGTGGTAATTAGTGCTGTCAATTTTCGTAGCAATTGTTTGAGAATTTGGGAAACGAATACGAGTTCAATAATAACTTTGCTTCTTGTTTATAGTTCTCAAAGGGATTTCAGATGGACTATCCCGCGGCAAGAAACCCAACGAGATGGAAAATCTGGTAATATTAAAACTTTTCTATTTCTGTTGTTTCTGACTTTTTTCACATAACAGCTGCTGAAAGTTTTTTTTTTTTTAACTGTTTCCGATACAGATAAAGGATTTATGGAAGGTAAACATGATGCATTCTGAAGCAGCTGAGGTCATCAACAAGGACATCATTTCCCATTTTGTTTTACGCCTCGTCTACTGCAGAGAGTTAGTTTCATCTTGTATTTACCCTCCTTCCTTCTATCCTCTTGCATTTTTGTTTTGCTTATGTTTTAACTTAACTATGGTAGGGAAGAATTAAGGAGATGGTTTCTTTCGATGGAGACTACACTGTTTCGCTATCGTTTTCAACTCGAAACTCCTGAAGCCCAGGTCAGATTTTTGCTATATATAATGATCTACTTCACAGCTGGTCCTATTGCCCACGAAATTTTATTTGGTGGCTGATCTGTTGTGTTGGCTTTATCTGTAGAGGGCATTACTGGCAGAGTTTGACTTGCCTTATAAAGCTATAAACAATGCGGAATACGAGGTAACTGGTGTTATCATGCAACACGTGATTTGCGTTTTTGACAATATGCAAAAAAGCTCCTCGTTGACACATCAGAATAGATACTCTTATTTCCATGAAGTAAGTCTTTCGGGTGATTTTGTTTCAGACTGTGAAAGACAAACTGAACCAAGTAGTACGCTCCACCGGTCAATCTCTATCCAGTGGTATGTTTGTTACTTCCTAAATAAAATCTAACCAACGTCGAGTTTTTCCTTATTTCTTCATTTCTGGTGACTTTTTTTCCCCTGATTCATTACAGCTGATACCGTATACTACAAGGTAAGATCCAACTCCGTGTCCCTCTCCATCCTTACATGTTCAGTACGCAAGCATGCAGAAGCAAAATGGCTTTACGCTTCTCACCTGAGTGGAAGGAAATTTCTAGTATAAAATAAAGGATAGCGGGCAGTAAAACATTAATAATATTTGTACGCACTCAGAAGTCAACTTCTCAAACTATCAGATAACGGTTTTTAGAATGAATTAGTATTTTTTTTTTCATCTAAAGTAGGTCAGCAGAGAACTTTTAAACCTTGATTTTCAACTGGCTCAGCATCATTACACTGGGCTCTAATTGATTCTCGTCTTAGTTGTAACTTATGTCCCTGTTTATAAAATGAAGGTTCCTTTCGAACAAGTTCCGGAACTAGTAGCAACTCGACGAGTATATATCCTGAAGGGGTATGCGTACGTTGCAATGAACCAGGCATGCTGCTGGATCACTTTCTATACAGACTCGAGCTTCTTTTCTATAATTTTATGAATAAATTCAGATTCTCTTTGCAGGTTAATTCCCTCCTCGTGACACAATATCGCAGCAATCTTTCAAAAGCACTAGTGTTGACAAACAGGTTCTTGTTAATCCTTGATCTGCATTACTTCCATTTTCTTTTCTTATTTAGATGAGAACAGATTATTTCAATTTGTCGATGAACTAAAGGCGTTTGTGTAAAAATGAAAATAACTTGCCGCATAAGATAAATAACTTGCATAAAATACTAATTACCATATGTGAGTCAGTGGGGTCTTTTCGAATGCTCTAAATTCATTGGTCTTAGTTCATCCAAACTCCACGATTCAACTTTTCTCTGTTGCTAAATTTCATGGTAAAAAAATATTGTTGCATTTGAAGAATTTCATGGGAAGAGTTGAAGCCACAACATGCATATTTTGCTTCTTTCTAGAGCTTAAGATTTTATTTTCTAGAGTGTCACAACCTGCATTATTTGCTGTCAGAAAATGGACGTCCATGATCAGAGAGCAAGAGAAGGACCGCCTCACTCCTGTAAGCAAGAAATGATTCTTCATCTCTTCATATTGAAGTTTTCATTACGTTGATCGGTCAACAAATCAAACAAAATAAAAAAGCAAAAAAAGAAAAAATAATAATATTGACCGGTGACAATACTATAACTGTAAACACAATAATATTATCGTCAACCATATCAATTTTTTTTTTGCCTTTTTATTTTGTTTGATTTGTTGATCGGTCAACGTAATAATATTATTGTCTACTATTGTAATATTCCTGTGGTTGACAGTAAAATTACTGTAAACACAATAATATTACTGTCATTAGCATCTAACTTTCTGTGTTGTACTTAGATTGTTGAAGCCCTATCAGTAAGCTATTTAGGTCCTGACTATAGCCAGGTAATTTAAAAGTCGAGCCTAATTATCCGTTTACCTGTAGTTGAATATAGAGTTGGTTGATTGACTTATGAAGTGCCATTGCAGTCAAAAGAATATGGAGAGATATCATTGAAAGACATCGATCAAGTTGCCAAAAAATCATTCCCTCTCTGCATGCGCCATTTGTTTGGGAAGGTAACGAGTAGTTCTGTGGAAATAATAATTTGTTTCTCTTCTGGTTAAATGTCGTTTATAACCTCTACCATACCCTATACTTCAATGCGCAGCTTAAGGAGGACCATCACTTGAAGCATGGAGGCCGGATGCAACTGGGTCTCTTCCTCAAGGTTATTTACGTCTACACTTAATGTGCATTACGGTTATATATGCTTTAATTATCATGGACTGAAATTTGATAGGACTGTATATATTGAATTTTTCTTTTACACTGATAACATAATCTTAAACATCTATGGTTTTGAATGTGGGAGCATACAAAAGATTCCAAATGTGTCTAATTTAACTGTTAAAAGATGTTTCTTGATTTTTTGTCATAGCACTGATATTCTGTTAATATGTATTATTAGGGTGTTGGACTCAATCTGGATGATGCCCTTGCATTCTGGAAAGCAGAATTCTCGAGAAAGGTGATCCAAGTTCTATTATCTTTAATTTTATTTATCTGGCCGTAGTAAAAGATGAGGAATGTGATTAGGATTTGTGTATTGGCAACCGAAAACATCAACTGCGATCATTCGAAAGAGTTTGCAGTATCTTGTCAAATTTGGAAATGTGTCTTCTATTTGTCGTGCAGGGGGTTGAATGATTTGTTATATGCTTGTATTTTGTATTCGACTATTACTGGTGTTACTGATTTTAGATTTTGGTATCAACAAACTTATAGAATCTGCTAATTTGGTGCTGAAAGATTCGAGAAATTACTTTTGTAGGTTGGTGCTGAAAGATTCGATAAGGAATATGCATACGGCATACGACACAATTATGGAAAAGAAGGGAAGAGGACGGTAATTAATCTCTTCCACTGTTTATGATTCATGTTTCTCTATGGAATCCCTTCTTGAAGCATTTATTCAATAAATTATTTTATGTTAGACTTCTTTTGTCGGATTAAGGATTTTCTAACAATTTTATACACTAAAGTTTTATTCGAAAACATAGTACTGTAGGTGTCTGTTGTGACCTGGAAACATAGTATAAGAGAGGAAGAAAAAACACGTTGAAGAGAGATTATAATGTTTGCTTTAATCTCTCTCTCTCTCTCCCCACATGATTATCACTGGTTTCAGGAAACTTTGCAAGCATACAAAGTATAAGATTAAAAAGGAAACGAGGAAACTAGTATATAGG